GGGTTCAGCATTTGTGGGAATGAATGAAAGAGTATCAGGTGCGCCGCAATACACACAACGTGTGGCCACTTTATCTGTGTCTGACAGAAGGCTAAAGTCACTATCAGACCATCTTCACCACAGAGACTAAGGAGAGCGGTGTGGGGTTATCTTCCACTCTGATAAATACAGATAAAGCACAACCTACTGTTGGAGAGTCCAAGTTTAAACTGCATGGCCATCAGTCAAGCTCAAACCAATAAAACGGAAATAATGATGGGTTTTGGTTGGCAAATAAAAGGTTTCATATGTCAACTCCAGCAATAAATATTTTATTTTGACATATGGCATGACACCAGTTGGGTGCCAGCCAAGTCAAAGCATGAGGGAGTTCTGTGCAAAAACAGTGGACAAATAAGCCTTATTTAATGGATGTGCTTGTTTTATATAAAAAAACAGTGCTACTAGTCCATCTGTCTATCAGAGTAGAGCTGCTCCAGGCTGATCAGTTTGACAGAGTAAAGGCAGAGGTTACCGACGGAAGGTCAGGGTCAATATGCACTAAGCAGACCTTCTTTTCCACAAAGGGGAAACCACCTTCTTCTACAAATCAAATTAAGGCTTACTGCTAAGAGCCGACAGATGTTTGAGCTGAACCTGCTGTCAACAAGCCTGAGGAACCTTATTAAATATAAAGTATAAGGAACACTCCACCTTTTTGGAAATAGACAAATTTTTGTTTCAAGTCCCCTAGAGCTGTGTTTCTCAACTGGTGGGTCGTGACCCAAAAGTGGGTCGCAGGTACATTTTCAGTGGGTCGCAGAGTGTGCGGTCAAAAAAACAACAGTTTGTGTGAGAACAACTGTACCATTTGACATATATAAATTTCATTTAAGTATAGCAACAAATATGTCAAAGCGAAAGTACGACCCCGAATATGTAAAGTATGGATTTTAGGGATGGGAAGATTAACCGATATGTATCGATACGCAGTCATGCGCGTGCACGATGCGAGTGCATCGGTAGAGCAGCAGAGGATGAATGAAATTTTGGAAGCAAATCGAGATGCATCGGTTTTTTGCGAGATGCATCGGTTTTTCCAAGATACAACTTATATTTTTAATATAGAATGTATTTTTTATTTATTAACAAGTGTTGTCAACCTGTTTTTGGCGCATAATTTAATCGACCTACATAAAGTATGCACTAACAACGGATTTGCGGATGTGTACACTTACACTACAACTCAGTGTATCAGGTGTGCGGATGAAGCTAGTGGTGCGCCCTCAGAAAGCGCGAGAAGCTAAACAAACATTCCTCAACAACAAACAAACATATTCAATTATTCCTCACTGAGTTTTAAATCTAAAGTATGGCAACATTATGGATTCTGCAAAAGGATGGACGACTTGACAGGACTGATGCAATTTGCAAAATGTGCCGCGCATCTGTAAAATACACGGGCAGTACGACTAATCTGATATCTCACTTGAAGCGGTGCCTCGGTGTTGTTGTGGAAGCATCTTCCAGTGTTCCTGCATCCCCGGCTTCCTGCTCGGCTTCAACTGTAGCTACCAGCTCCAAAAGTGGTGAGAAAAGCATTGAAAGTTTTTTCCATGCGCAACAGTTCTGCTCGCTCTACGCCAATAACGAATGCTTTTGCATTGTTCATCTGCAAAGATATTCAGCCTAATGTCACGGAGAACGAAGGTTTTAAACACCTCCTGTTAATTTTTATTTATTTATATTTTTATTAGCCTGTTGTTTACAGTGACAGTGATGTTTCAAAGCAACATAACACTGCTAGTTCAGGACCTTAAGTTTTGAATATTCAGTGGCACAATATATCTTTGTAAAACTTGTTTTCATAGTTGAAAAGTTAAATCACAATTCTTGTTGTGCAATGGTAAACCTTTATGTTGAAAGAGTGCAAATATATACATTTATAATATATATTGCACTTATACATTCTGTTTATCTTGAAAATACTTAAATAATATGTGCTATATGTTCTAAAATGGCCCTCTACTGTAAACTGACACTCTGGCTCTGAGAGAAAAGCCAGTTGTAAAAAAAGTCTTAGTTTTGCTTGGTTAATAAATAATCAAACTCATTCAATGGCACAGCATCCTTTCTTACATCATCTCATAAACTTGATCTAATTAGTTAGTGCTGAATTATCGTATTGTATCGTGATATGGGTGTAAATCGTATCGTGTTGCATCGCAATATCACAAATGTATCGCTAATATATCGGATCGTATTCTTTGTATCGAGATGCGTATCGGATCGGCATTATAGCTTAGATGCCCAACCCTAATGGATTTACATATATTCACGTCAAAAAAGCCTTAAACCTCAGTGTGTCATATGTAGTGATGTGCTCTCACAAGAGCACTTTTAGAAACCAAAAAATTGTCATTTTTACTTTGTATTATTTCTATAATTTGATACAATAATAAAAAACTTTTTATTTGTAAGTCTTGGTGATTTTCTTATAATTTATCTGTCACTTCTTGTGTATGTTTTCAAATAAATACAAATTAATTATAATTCCTAAAATTATATTTTAGTTCCTAAAATTTTGGGTTGCGGGTTGATGACCATGTAACGTTTTGGGTCCCTTGGCCAAACTAGTTGAGAACCACTGCCCTAGAGCAGGGGTGCCCAACCCTGTTCCTGGAGATCTACCTGCAGAGTTCAGCCAACCTTGATCAAACGCACCTGTTTTGAATTACCAGGTGATCCTTCATACCCCACTTAGGTGGTTTATTTGTGCTTGATAAGGGTTGGAGCTAAACTTTGCAGGAAGGTAGATCTCCAGAAACAGGATTGGGCACCCTTGTCCTAAAGTTTAGTTTAGTTTCAAAAGTTCAAACTCTTTCTGGAGTGATTTAATGAGCAAGTCGCTAATGGTCTAATCCGATTCAATAACCTATGCTAAGCTAAGCTAAAAGTGAGCCTGCCCGACCCAGAAAGTGGCCAAACGAATTCAAAAATGGGAAACTGTTTAACCCTAGAAGAAATGTAAAATGAGCCTATTTCCTAAAAAGTGGTGTTACTTTAACCCAAAATGAAAAATCTGTCACTGTTTACTCAGCATTATGTTGTTTTAATATAGATGCATATGACTTTCTTTATTCTGCACTATAAATTTATAAGTCATTTGCAAATAAAGGGGCCACTCACCTAGTCATTTTTTGTATTTTTAAAAAATTTTTTATTCATTTATTTTTTTAAGTTGTGTTATGATTAGTCATACTAAACCAGTAAAAGCAGTTCAAATTAACCTAAAATTAAAAAGGTATCCTCAATACCTTGCCCCCTCCTTTCATCTTTTCAGGATTTTTGAAAGTAAAAAAAAAAAAAAAATCTAAAAAGGTGACTGAGCTTTCTCAACACTGGGTCCAAATCTGAGCCGTGAACTGCCCCTGTGTGTTATCTCAGCCCAGTCTTTATCAGTTGAGATGAGTGATAAGCCCTAAGTATAGAACATGTAATATCTAGAGCTTACAAATATTTTGTATTATGTGGTGCATTATGTGTATTGTGGTCTTTTTTTCTGAAACAGTATGTGTGTAAAGCACTTTTTATCATCTTATTATTGGTTCTGTAAAAATTAAATGAATGCTCACATTTTGCATCGAAAACTGGCTTCCATTACACTAATCTGGGTCACGGCACCAATGTTATACATGCCCTGCTCTGAGTGGAATTCAAACCAGCATTTAAAGCATATAAGGTAGGTTAATGTTAAATGCCACTGCCACTGATGTCAGTCAAGAGTATAAAGTAACTGGCCCCCCTTACACATTTAACAATGTGTATGTTTCAATGCAAAATTAAGTCCATATCCCCTAAAACAGGGGTGCCCAAACTCAGTCCTAGAGGGACAGTGGCTGTTTCTCAATTACAAGAATGCTGAGAACAGACTTGTGTTCTTGTGAAGACTGGTCTTGCCAGGTCACCTCGGAAGAACAAACTCGGGAGACCGCGAGAACAGAGAACACGTCCTGTGAGAAATAAGATGCAGCGTTCTTCCTGATGGTCACATGACCTTCAAGCGTTTTTAGCGGAAAATCATTTAATGGAAAATCATAAAAAACTTTATAAAGTTGAGCAATACAAATAAAAAAGATTTTAATACGAATTTTAGCAAATAAACACCCTTAATGTGTTTATTCCTTCATTAAGGTTTCATGGTAATGTTTACTTTTATTGTTTCATTTAGGGAAACTCCAGTGACAAATAAGTTATACTGTTTCTTTGAACTTTAATAATAAACCTAAATAAAAGGCTGCGCTTCCCAATTCCAGTCGCAATGACTTCTGGGACTTCTAGAGCAAGTTTGGTGTTTAAGTCTGCATCCTCAATATCAAGAACACATCCGGGAAGTTTCACGCGACCTCCGTTCTTGTGGTCTTGAGTATTGGAATTGAACTTTGGCAGTTGATAATGATGTTACACGAGAACACGAGGACACAAGATTACGGAAGAACGCATATTGAGAAACAGCCAGTGTCCTGCAAAGTTTAGTTCCAACCCTAATCAGACACACCTGGGCTAAGTAATCAAGCTTTTACTAGGCTTTCTAGAATCATCCCTGCAGGTGTGTTGAGGCAAGTTGGAGCTCAAATCTGCAGGACACCGGCCCTCCAGGACGGAGTTTTGGCACCCTTACCATAAAACAACATTTGCACTATATTTTTGTAGCCTTCTAAATCCAAAAGTACTGCTCAAGAACATATGCTCAAAGGGTGTATTTATCAATAACACTAAAAAGCATTGCTTCTCATGTGCCTTGTAACTGATTTTGATGCAGGGAATTTGAAGTTATTTATATTCAGCAGTAAAATACACAGCTTTTATATTGCTTTTGTATCATTTCTGGTGACCATTCACTTTTGTTTTTTTATTTAAATATAACCACTAAATCAAATTATTTATTTTTTTCTATATATAAATATACACACAGAGTAGAATTGCAAAGTAAAAGGAAATCATCAAGTAACTTGACTTACCTGTGTTGTTCAGCAGCTTCATTATCGGGCAGCTCCATATCACACACCTCACACCGCTCTTTCTGGGTATGGACTTCATGTTTCACATTTACTGCAAAATCCCCGAGCTTGCTAAAGAACTCCCTCTGAATCAAGCTCTGGTGGAAGAGCCCCCCGTAAGCACTGAAATCCATAGACATGGCCAGGGATGGCGGCACATGTAGGGACGAGGCCATGGACACAGGCACGGGCAGCATGCTTTCGCTCTTATGGTTGGACGGGATGGAGCACAGCGAAGCGAAATGTCTATCAGCCAGACTGGCCATACTGATCAAACTGGCTTGGTTGTTGTCCCCTTGGGAGTCAACAGAACTATCGGTGGAGTGGAGCTCGCGGGCGCTGGTGATGACGCTGCCTCTGGTCGGGGTTCCAGGAGTGTCCCGGTGCTGCCTGGAGTCACCGCCACCCTCCCCGTTCCTAGGGAAGCCACCTTCATGTTGATAGTCCTCGTCTACTTGCATCATCTCAGTTTTTATCTTATCTATCAATGGAGATGAGTTACCAATGTTGTGCGAGAAACTCTGTCCAATGTTGCCTTGGAGGACGGACTGTCCCATGCTCATCAAGCCCTCTACTGCAGCTTTAGTAGGGCTGACAGTTGAAAGACCCAGTTGGGCAGACTCTGAAGATCTTTTATCGACCATGCTGACCAGAGCCAGGCGATGGCGGGCAGCGGTGCCATAACCGCCATCTTGTATGGAATGCTTTTTAGAGATAAATGCACTCTTAAGGTACTTGATCCTGCGGTCTTCAACATCCTCGGCACCATTCTCATTCATGTTCACATCTGTATCGTTCTCTTCAGATGCCTGGATGGTTTCCAAAATCTTCAGACATTGCTCCTCCAAGTACTCGATTTCTAAAATCTCTGCGGCGTACAGCAGGTCATCCAGGTCTTCCAGCTTGGCTTGGAGCGTGGCGGTGTAGGCGTACTCCAAAATCTGCTGGAAGGTCTTTGGTGAGAGGAAGTCCAGAGTGTAATGTTGGCTGTTGCGGTGGAACAGGATCTCGAACATCTTACTAGCACATGCAAGCACGGTTCTGTGCGCATGAAACTCCTGGCTGTCGACCATGATGACCACATCACACAATGTCCCAGACAGGCGCATCTGGTTGGCCTTCTGCAGGAGAGTTGTAGGGTGGCTGGGGTTCTGAAGGTGGATCGCACCCATTTTAGTCAAATCCATAACATCAAGATTTACCGAACCATCTCACAGATCTGCTTCCCTCCTTGAGTGCTCCTGCAAATGTCATTCAGTCAGTTGTGTATCAAAAACAAGCACCAAATATACTACGTCAGATGTGTTCATCTAAGTTACACAGGTCACGTTAATCATCACTCAAACAGGTTAACTGAGTGCATTGAGAAAGAGTCAAAGGGGAGTTGTTGTTGTTGTTATTGAACCGCCATAAAGAAGCACTAGCCAATCGTCACAACATGTACTTAATCTTATGCAATCGCAGCTATAGTAATGGAAGGCTGCCAGATGAAACTGAACTGACTGCATTCGGCACATGCTCTGGATGAGTTTGCATTTATGATATTGTTCTTCAGGCAAAAAGCATAATTTGTTTTAATTGTAGGCCCACTTTGTAGCAACACCGAGTCACATTCCTGCAGTCGAAAATAATAAAAACACCCCAGGAGCGACATTTTAAAGGCATTTCTGTTGTGACATGTAGAAAAACCACAAGACTGACTGTTGGTCATATACTGTATATTTTAAAATTCTGTACATTTTTTATTTACAGTTCAGCTAATATCAGCAAAAGTTTCTGAAGTGTTCAGCTGATTCACATTTTTGTCTGACACAATAACTAATAAAGCTGACTTAGTATTCTAAACATTTTTGTTTTTCTTTTAAGCGTGAATGACTATTAGACCTATTACCATAATTAAAGATTTGTCTGTTGTTATGACAAATTATTAGATTATTTAACATCATATCAATTGATGGTAAGAAAAAAATAGATGATAAATATATGTACTGTAAAGTATCAGTTTCTGAAGTATTGCATAGGTATTGCACTCACACCTTCCTTGGACTAACCAAGCAATTGCTACAGTCGTGATCTTTAAAAAAAAATCGATAGAGTAGATTATGAATGAGTTAAATAGATATAGATAACAAACAATTAAGTTTAACATATCAATATGCAGCAAAATTATATCCGCATCAATTAATATTAGGCCTATTAATTAATAATATATCATAGGTAACGTCAAATAAAATGTATATTATAAAATAAAGTAATAGTGTGCAATCAATTTTAACATAACAAATAAATAACAAAAAATGCCAATTTCCTAAGTATCGTCCAACCTCCTGTTTTATTTCAAACCTCAATATGTATTTAGTCCGCATGTGTAAATTGCAATCAAGACACTAAGTGCATGTTCTATTAGTCTTAAAAACATGTAGCTTGCACCAAACGCTTCATTTACAAATAACGATATAATGAAGAGGAAAAAAAGGTGGGGATGCATCTTCAACCCTGAAAAGGTTGAGCTCTCCTAACCTTTCAGCCTTTAAATCACGCAAACGTACACTGATAACGTGAGAGTTACTAATTAGACTCACATCTCTATTTATCTCCTGCCTCTGACCATGATTTGACAAACATTACCGATTATATCAGGTTTACGAAGGATGACATGATAAGCAAAAGATCAGACCCCGCGAAGCCATCCGTGCAACAGTCTGTCTCAACATTCAGCCCTTCCAAATGCACCTGACCGACAAGTTGTTTTACGCAACATTAACAGCAGTTACTTCGCAAATGAAATCATTTTATAACACTTACTCTACGTGTCCAGAAAGCGCAAACAAACACGCAGGAGCGCGCGTGCTACGTCTTAAAACACAAGAAACAAGTTGCATCCTCAACGCTAAATGAACTCATTCTCGCAGCACTTTCGCCTACTAATAGGCATTCATACTGTCGCACTCAGCATGGGGAACAATTAAAGCTTTACCGGCGAAGTTATTTTCACTTACCTGCAACTGGCGCGTAAATTGAACACTTGTTATTAAGGCATCAACATACTGAGGTTCAGAGGAGCCGCTTCACGCGCTCTACACTCGCCGTGCGGATTCCAATCATCATCATCAGCGTGACGTCAAAGCAATGGCTCGCTGTTTTCACTGAGGCGCGCCAAGACGCCGCGCGCACGAGCCCCGCGATTATTAGTGCTTTGCTTTCAGGATGGAAGCTGCTCAAGAAAACAGCACCTTGTTGCCTGAATCGAACTCAAACTCTTTATGAGCATTTGCGTATGACTGGGAATCGGTCATTAACAGCGAAATATATACAGCCCTCTTACAGTTCCCTCAGTTGATGTGTTAAGTTTAAAGAGCACGACTGTATTAAAAGGGCTTAAGCTTGACAATGAATGAAGGGAAGAAACGATGAATGAGAATAAAAGGACGCACAACAGTACAGTGCCAATGAATGTAGAATCAGTCTAATCCCGTAGTCTTCTAATCTGGAGACATGCTGCTTTATTCCCTAAACTGTAACCCTGAAAACATCTGAGGACTTCTAGATATTTGTGTGGCTGTTTTACTCTGCCACTTTGATGATTACGTTTTATTATTATTATAAATAATTTTAAAAGCCCTTTTACACGTTAGTTTGGGTAATTATATGCAACCAACCCTGAACCAAACTTAGCTATTTTAGCCCTCTGGTGAGTACATGTTAATTAATACAGCCACACTCGGTATTTAAAAGTATAATTACACTGTAATAAATTCACCCTAACATAAACTGACCACAATATTGTTCCTTGCAATTTTAGATTGATAACAATTTACCCAAAGGCTTTCAGAAAGTTGCATTACAGTGCATTTAGTTTGTTCGATGTTAAGAAACAAAACAAACTGCATTGGAACAGACTCGCTGTCTGACTTGCATGTGTTAGTGTTGTCGAGTATGTTTATATGAAGCACGTGCGGTCACGTCTCATTTTCTGATACACGAGCGTAATGAAATAGCGCCACTTGCTGGGGAAAAACTTCACTTGTGACCTGGACCACAAAAATCAGACGTGTAATCTTTTAGAAATCTCCTAAAAGCTTAATAAATAAGCTTTCCGTTGATATATGGTTTGTTAGGATATATTTGTCCATGATACAACTATTTGAAAATCTGAAATACAAGAGTTAGAAAAAATCTAAGTACTAGGAAAATTTTAAGTCTTTAAAGTTGACAAATTGATATGCTTTGCAATGCACATTAATACTAATGAATTGGATTTTGATACATTTACAGCAGGAAACTGTAAAAATATCTTCATGAAACTTGATCTTTGTTTAATATTCTAATGAGATAAGACATATCAATTGTTTTGACTTATATGTATTTTTTCATTCATTCATTTTTCTTCGACTTTATTCATCAGGGGTCACCAAAGAGAAATGAACCACCAACTTATTCAGCATTTATATTACATAGCGGATGGCCTTCCAGCTGCAACCCAGTACTAGGAAACACCCATTTACACACTGTGGCCAATTTAGTTTATTTAATTCACCTACACCGTATTTGGACTGTGGAGGAAAACCAGATCACCTGAAAGAAACCCATGCAAACACGGGCAGAATATAGCAAACTGCTCAAAGAACTGCCAACTGACCCAGTCAGAACTCAAACCAGAGACCTTCTTGCTGTGTGGCGACAGTGCTAACGTATTTTTGTCTATTGCCAAAAATATACATGTGCAAAATAAGGTATTTTTTTCATCCTGTGTCACCTTTATCAGTCTTAATAACGTCAAACAATACAATAAAAATGAGTGCATATTTACAGTATTACTTTAGACTGATACACACTGTTAACCTTTACTGTGAATCGTGCAGTACATAACTGTAAAATAGCCAGTGTTTTGCTGCAATAAAAGGAAAGAGTATTTTACTGTAAAAAAAGCCTAGTAATGTCTAACCGTGCAGTTTAAATTAATATATTATTTAATAAAAATTAAAAAAAACTACTTACCCATTTTCCACAAAATTTGGGTAAGCCTACTGGATGTCCTCCAAACAGTGGAGTAAGTCTTCAAAACCTTTCTGCCATTTTAATTTCATTGTTAAGGACACATTTAGCAAGAGCTTTATTGTAGCAACAATAACTACAGTGACTAGTGTTTTCAGAATCCTGGTTGAAGCTGCACAGTAAACATTTGTGGAAGAAAAAGCTAAAGAATGTTACGTTTATATAGAGTGCTGAACATTCTTAAAACATCACACAAGACCCTTGGATTTCAAATCAGCTAAATTTAAATGTAAAAAATAGTAATACCAGTCACTCAATGCATTTAGACACACAGATGTGCTCAAGACGGTCAGATCTAGGAATGTCATAGTTGTTTGTGCCAGACGAATGCTTCAGACAAGTATTTCAAATCTGCTGATCTACTGGGACTCTCATGCACAACCATCTCTAGAGTTTACAGGGGAGTGCCAGTTGAGTGAGCAGTAGTTCTGTGGTTGAAAATGACTTGTTGATGTCAGAAGTCAAAGAAGAATGTACAGACTAGTTCAGCTGCCAGAACGGCAACAGTAACCCAAATAACCAGTCGTTACATTGAGGTCTGTGAAAGTGTATCTGTGACCACAAAACACATCAACCTTGACCCCTCCTGTCAGCAAACTAAGGCTTCAGTTCAGGCAGGCTCACCAAAACTGGACAACAGAAGAATGCAATAAAGGTTGTCTGGTCTGACGAGTCTTGATTTCTTTGGTGAATGGTAGGATAGGAATTTGGTGTAAACAACATGAAAGCACACACTCTTTCTGTCCAGCATCAATGGCTCAGGCTGCTGGTGGAGTGGTGTCGATCAAATTTTCTTAGCACATTTTGCACATCTAAGACTGCAACAGCAACTTGAGTCTACTTGTTGCTGACCATGTCTATCTCTTTATGACTATATGCAGTGATCTAATCTTATGATGCTATATCAAGTATAGGAAACAAAGCTAGTCAAAAAGATTAAATCACTTCAAAGTGGGTTATTCAACAATGGCTGTATCCAAAATTCGAGATGTACCATTACAGCACAATGGATTCTAAGAATTTGGGATACAGGATCCTATTGATCTACATAGGTCTTAGGTCCGTATAGTGTTTTAAGGTTAAACTAAAAATAAATAAGAAAATTATATTTGAAAATGTTTTCTTGTGGCAGCTTGTTGTTGATACCTTATCATTTATGTCATTGGTTTGATCCATTCCCTCAGCATCTGTGCACAGCTTCTCTGTAGTTCCAATTTAGCACTGGAGACAGAATATTAGACACACAAGAAGCATTCAAAACAGATTATTCCATTTTTATTTTGAGTGTTTGTACAGTGCATCCGGAAAGTATTCATAGCACTTCACTTTTTCCACATTTTGCAGCCTTAATCCAAAATTGATTAAATTCATTTATTTCCTCAAAATTCTAAAAACAATACCCTATAATGACAATGTGTAAAAAAGAGTTTTTGAAATTGTTGCAAATGTATTAAAAGTAAAAAAACCTGAAAAATCACATGTACATAAGTATTCACAGTCTTTGCCGTAAAGCTCTAAACTGAGCTCAGGTACACTCTGTTTTCACTGATCATTCATAAGGATGTTTCAGCAACTTAGAGTTCACATGTGGCAAATTCAGTTGATTAGACATAATTTGAAAAGGCATACACCTTTCCATTTAAGGTCCCAGGGTTGACAGTGCATGTCAAAGCACAAACCTAGCATTAAGACAAAGCAATTGTCAGTAGACCTCTAAGACAGGATTGTCTCAAGGCACAAGGCTGGGGAAGGTCACAGAAAAATTTCCGCTGCTCTGAAAGTTCCAATGAGCACATAGGACTCCATCATCTGAAAGTGGAAGACGTTTGGAACCACCAGGACTCTTCCTAGAGCTGGCTGGCCATCTAAGCTGAGTGATCAGGGGAGAAGGGCCTTAGTCAGGGAGGTGATCGATAACCCAATGATTACTCTGTCTGAGCTCCAGCGTTCTTCTGTGGAGAGAGGAGAACCTTACAGAAGGAGAACCATCTGTGCAGCAATCCACTGATCAGGCCTGTATGGTATAATGGCCAGATGGAAGCTCACTCATGTTTTTCAGCAGCAGGAACGGGAGGAATACTCAGGACAGAGGGAAATATGAATGCAGCAATGTACAGAGACATCCTGAATGAAAACCTGCTTCAGAGTGCTCTTGACCTCAGACTGGGGTGACGGTTCATCTTCCAGCAAAACAATGACCCAAAGCACACCCCCAAAATATCAATGGAGTGGCTTCACAACAACTCAGTTAATGTCCTTGAGTGGTCCAGCCAGAGCCCTGACATAAATCCTATTGAACATTTCTGGAGAGATCTGAAAATAGCTGTACACAATCGCTTCCAATCCAACCTGATAGAGCTAGAGAGGTACTGCAAAGAGGAATGGGCAAAAATTACCAAAGATAGGTGTGCCAAGCTTGTGACATTATATTCAAAAAGACTTGAGGCTGTAATTGCTGCCAAAGGTGCATCAACAAAGTATTGAGCAAAGGCTGTGAATACTTCTGTACATGTGATTTTTCAGGTTTTTTATTTGTCATAAATTTTCAATGATCTCAAAAAATATTTTTTCCACATTGTCATTGGTGTATTGTGTGTAGAATTTTGAGGAAATAAATTAATGTAATCCATTTTGGAATAAGGCTGTATCAAAAAACAAATGTGGAAAAAGTGAAGTGCTATGAATACTTTCTGGATGCACTGTAAGATGTTTTTCAAAAGGATTTACAAAAAACAGTTGGGTTTTTCAGTGGTCATTTACATTGTACTCTCAAGTCCGAAAAACAAGACAGATCGCCAGATTCTCATTCTTGATATCTTTATAGTGCACTATTTGAGGGAGCAGCCATTTGTAGTGGTGTCCAAAACCATAGCTGACTTTCTGAAGTGCATTCAATAAACATTGCACCACAATAACAAGCTTACAACCACTCAACAGCTAATGATTACCCATATAGTTCCATATCTGACCACAAAATAAATAATTTAATTGTTGAATGACCATGAGTATACATGACAGAAATCAAAATAAAATGTTTCATTACTAATAGACATCTCGCGTCAAATAACCATCACAGGGTCTGACCAGGAAGTTAAAAATCTATTAATCTGTTTGAGGGATTAATCCAACACCAAAGAACAAATAAAATAGTTGTAATTCTGAATTCACTCTCTTGTTTTCACTCTATTTATAGTGGACTAATTTAGGGAATAGAG